ATCAGTAATTAATATGTATTTTTGAATCTGATATTTGATCACTTCACGGCGACAGAAACTACATTCTTTTGTGTCTCATGTGACGTCACAAACCCGAGTTGTGACCTAGTTTTGTCACCGAATCTTGCCTCACCTGCACGTGAAAAGTGTTTCCTTGGGGGTGACGCGATTCCTGTGGGAGTCATAACACAGCTCCTACTGTGCTCTAACGATATAGAGACAAATCCAGGCCCAATAACTCTCCAAGAAGTACAGGAGAAAATACTAGTAGAAATAGGGAGCATGAAATCGGAGATACGAAACGTCAAAGCAGATTTAAGCACACAAATTTTAGAACTAAAGAATCACATCCACACTATCAGTTCTAAATGTGAAAAACTGGAGGAATCTGTTACAGAATTACATCGTAATCTAAACACTATGAAACAGAACCATGATATAATGTATGATGACATTGATGCACTTTCAGGCAAGGTGGATACTGTGTTTGATCAGATGTCAAAAATTGATAACGAACTAGATAGACTTGAGTCCTATGGCAGACGTGATAATATCCTCATCCACGGAATACCGGAAGCTGCAGGCGATGAAAAATCAATGTCATGTAAAGATACTGTGTTATCCGTCCTCAATGAACATGCTAAATTCAAAACGTGGCAACCATTGGACATAATACGTGCGCACAGACTTGGCGTTAAACGTGTAAATGTAAATCGCCCTCGCCCAATGATTGCTAAGCTACATTCGTCTGACGACAAAGTTCGTACATTGAAAGCGAGACCCACATTCAAGGAAGGGGGACTCGGAATTTCTAGTGACCTAACGTCACGTCAAAGTCAACAGCTTCAGGCACTTAAGGGAACGAACACTTTCGGGTATTTCAAAGATGGTCGTTTGGTAACAAAACCCCGCACCATGGAAACAACATCAACAACGTTTAGCACTTTAAACACGACACGAGGAAGCCGATCTTTTCATAGAAGAACGGATGGAACAACAGTGTCACATGCTTCTATCAGCTAGGATATCGGCCGAGGCCCGGATAGTTTTTCACGAGATCCTAACACTATCAACACCGGTGTTACGTTAAACGCTGATTGTCCAAGCGAAACATTCACCTTTCTAAGTTGGAATATTAATGGACTTCGAAACAAAATTGATGCTGCTGATTTTATATCATACTTACAACAATTAAAATAGCATGTCTTGTGGAAACTTTTGTCGACTGTAGTTTTGATAATAGCTGGTTAGTTGGTTATGATATCTATTATAGTCCAGCAATAAAATTATCTGACTACGGAAGGCTGTCAGGTGGTATTTGTGTATGTGTCCATCAATCCGTCAGTAAATTTTTTAAGTTAATTAAATCAGATGAAGATAATCTCCTGTGCTTGAACATATCAAAAGTGTAACTTACAATTGACAAGAACGTAAACTTGCTATGTACATACATACCACCAGCTGGTTCGCCGTATTATAACCATGCGGTCTCAAATTGTTGTATTGATCATCTTGAAGAATTTATGTTAGATAATCAGTCGCAGCTTAAAGATTCTATCAGTGTAGTCTGTGGAGATATGAATGCTCGTACTGGTCAACAAAACAATCCTCTAGTCGATATACAAAACGATTTTGTTCATAGTAACTGTTCATACCCAGAAGATGAAAACGTATGTGTTGGAGATCAGAAATCCCATGACACCGTTATAAATAAATTTGGTCAGATACTGCTAGATATGTTGTATACATTTCAGTTGTTCATTGTCAATGGGAGAGTGTATGGGGATACCCTTGGAGAATTTACCTATTGTGGAAACCAAGGTGCGAGCGTTAATGATTATTTTATATGTTCCCCCGATTTTTTCGATTATATTAAGATGTTGAATATTGGCGATCGTCTAGAATCTGATCATTTACCTTTGGAATTGACCTGTAAGTTCCCTCATATGAATCAAATACATACCAAATTAAAATATGTGGGTGTCACTAAGAAGAAATTTTAAACTAATATGGAATGAAGAACTTTCGAACAACTTTCTACGCAAACTACAAGAAAGTATAACATATTCTAAACAGTTACTTCTAGATAAACTTGATAACAATATTGAGGGGGCAATTGATGACTTTGTTGAAATTATGCTAACTTCAGCAGCTTGTATGAGAAAAGAGTTAAAACTGAACATGGATAAAACTAAAACTTTTAATACTGGATGTAGAATCGCAAGGCGTAACGCCCGCAAAGCGCTGCGAAGATTTAGAACAACCCGTACTAGTCTTGACAGAAAAAAATATTGCGAAAGCAGGAATAAATATAAAGGTTGTTGTCGGAAATACAAATTCGATATGCGTAGACAATAGACAAGACACACTGAAAAAGTCTATTAACGACCCTTCAGCGTTCTGGAAACAAGTACGATCTCTTAAGAATAGATCTTCTGCTACAGATGACATAACAAAGTCGCAGTGGCTTAGTCATTTTAAGAAGGTTTTTTCAAATGATGCAATATTCACTATGGCAACTGATGATATGCAAAATGATTTTAGTGAAAGCTACACGGATGTTGATGAAGTTCTGCTAGATTCACCCATTGTTGAAAACGAAATATTAGATGCGATAAATCACCTCAAGAAGCGAAAAGCAGCTGGTCCTGATGATGTAGTTATCGAAATGTTGAAGTGTTCTAAGTTTGAAGTTATGCCTTTTCTTTGCAAATGTTTTAATAAGCTATTTGAAAATGGTGTTTTCCCAAGCAATTGGTCATGTTCTATAATAATCCCCCTGCATAAAAAAGGAGACAGGAGTGACCCAGATAACTATAGAGGTATTTCATTAATGAGCATTTTAGGAAAAGTATTTACTACAATATTAAACAATAGAATTTCAAAATGGGCGACCATGCGTGATAAGATTCCTGAATTTCAAGCTGGCTTCAGAAAAAGTTATTCCACCGTAGATCATGTATTTACACTATATGCACTTATTCAAAAAACCTTGTCACGGCGTAAGCATAAACTGTATGTAGCATTTGTAGATTTTAAAAAGGCTTTTGATTCTGTCAATCGCTTTAAGCTATGGACATGTCTACGAAAAGCTGGTTTACGTGGGAAAATCTTTACTATTCTAAAATCAATGTATTCTAATGTGTTCGTTGTGGGGATAGTTCATTTTTCATTAATGAATTATATTACGAAACAGCTGCCAGTGGTAAACATGGTATACAAATGTTCCCAGATTGGATAGAAATACTAATGCTACTTTTCGCAGATCATGTCATTTTAGTGTCAGATACTGTTGTCGGTCTTCAAAGGCAATTAAATATTTTAAGTACGTACACCAAAGAATGGAAATTATCCGTAAACTTGGAAAAAACTAAAATTGTGATCTTCAGAAAAGGTGGTCCAATAGCGTCGAAAGAGAGATGGTCATTCGATGGTCAGTTAGTCAATATAGTAGATCACTACTCATATTTAGGAATCTGGTTCTCACACTCAATGAATTGGAAAAAATGTGCCCTTGACTTGTCCTTGCGTGCAAAGAAAGCTTTAATAAGTGTAATGTCTATTTCTCATAAAGTGGGATCGATGTCACCTAATATCTTCTTTAAGCTTTTCGATACCCAGATACAACCAATTTTATTGTATGGTTCTGAAGTATGGGGATTTCAACGTTATGACTGTTTAGAGAAGGTTCATTTATTAGCATGTAAAAAGTTTCTTTGTGTCGGATCTTCTATACCAAATTGCATGGTTTATGGTGAATGTGGTAGATACCCATTATATATTAATTTTCAGATCAGATGTTTAAAATACTGGTTTAAAATTCTTCATATGCATGAACAACGTCTCCCCAAATTAGCCTATAACATGCTTCTACATTTAGATAACATGGGAAAGAATACTTGGACATCGCATATAAGAAATCTTTTATTTTCGCATGGTTTTGGTTTTATATGGCTATGTCAGTCAGTTGGAAATGTAAATATGTTTCTTAATGAATTTCGGAATCGGTCTATAAATATGTTCTACCAAGAATGGCACTCCACTTTAGAGGATAGTTCGCGTTATGAATATTACAAAACTTTCAAGACTTTACTTCAACCAGAAATATATTTATCAGTACTCACTACGGAAAACTTAAGAAACCAGTCATTAAATATCGACTTGGTTTGCTAGACCTATTTGTAAATGAAGGAAGAAAACTGTCCATTGAAAAAATGAAAAGAATTTGTCCATTGTGTAAGCTAGAGATAGAAAATGAAATTCATTTTGTGTTTGTCTGTCCATTTTACAGTGATCTCCGAAAGAAATATATAAAAGATTATTTAATAGCAATGTCACCGATAAACGCCTTTATAGTTACGCTGACGACAAAGAACGAATCAAATATATTAAATCTTTCTCTTTATATTAAGCATACATTAGCCAAAAGAGATGAATTAATCAAACAACGTGTATATCCCAATGTGTAACAAATGTAATTGTATCTACATGCGTAACTCTTTCTTGTATATGGGCCGGTGGCCTTTTGTACAATAAACTTCTTTGACTTTGACTTGACTCGATTATTTATAGACCGCCGTCATAAAGCTGTAATATTGCTGAGTGCGGCGTTATACAAGGAGCAAAATCTCAAAGAAAACAATGGTAGTCTGTAGAAATGTGTCATATTTTGTATCCGGATATAATTTGAATCAATCGATCATTGTCACATGAACATAATCAAGTGCCTTAATCTTAGATTACCCATTAAGAGCCGACCATGCGGTATTCTAAAGAGAGCTCTGTGTGTGCGTGTGTGTGTGTGTGTGTATTTATTTGACATTCTCGACATTCCATCTTTCAAAGAAAAATGTAATTTCAACATATGTCTATGTGTGTGTGTCACTTTCATCAATATATCGATCTGCCTCTCAGTTCGTTTCATCTAATTCAAGAAAATAATCATGAGGTTTCCACCTTCAACAGAAAAAAAAGTTATGACATTATCGTTTTTGTTTCAGATTGGCGGTTTGGGGCACTGCTCTGCAAACTTGTTCCGTACCTTCAAGGAGTGTCTGTGTGTGCTTCAGTCAACACACTGGCAGCTATAGCAATAGACAGGTAAATGCATCTACCTTACTTACCTGCTGAACCAGCTGTAAGCACTGGTATTTCGAAAGTGAAAGTTGGCTATTATTCTACCAGGGAACGGTCCCGATGAGACGTATTGAACACGCTACTTGTCACTAATAAGACATCAGACCTCTAGGCCATAATGCATGACCTAGTCTTGAAATGAACTGCGATCATGTTGCAGACGTTACTGTCAGTGTTATGTATGTAAATCAATTATCATGTCTGGCTTTGACCTTATGGGTTTACGGTGTGAGGATCACTCTTCGTATTCAGCTGAGAAATGCCAGATTATTACTTTTCGGAGAACAGACAAGGCCCGAACATGATAAAAGTCCATTATAAACTCGTGTTAAGTAAAAAATGGTTTCATGATTTATTTACATCCATTTATCTTCACGCTGATTGAATATGCGTAAATGTGACCTCGTTCTGACGCCCTCGGCGGGGCAATAATAATACTCACTTATCCTCGAGAAAATAGTTTATTGTACAACATTTTGATCAAGGGCCGTTATATGAGGAGAAAACCGATGCACTGAGATGAAAAGTGTCCTCTCATAAGCACAGACACAAACATGACCCAATTGGTTGAGGGAAATATTTGATGTGGATATGACGTTCACTCACGACCACGAACATCATAATTTGACTATCAAAAGCAAAAGCACTTATAGAATATGCTGAAATATGACATTGGTTTACGGTATAATCTATTTTAAATCATCTAACTAAAAAATGACAAACATTTAATTCCGAACATCACCTTCTTTTGCGGCTTCGGGTAACAGACAGACACTTGCTTTTTGAAGATTGTGTGAGTGGCTGGTGAAATGCTTACCTATTAAACTAACACCTGGTGCCATTAGGGATCCATTTATATCTTTCACAGATATGTTGCCTCACTTTGAAAGTAGGAAGCTCAAAATAAGTGTGAAAATGTTATGCCGTTATGAGGCCCTCGTTTTCCGATCTTAACAGGTCAGAGTTAACCCCCTTAGATCATGACGTAATTGGTGCCAATTTAATTGTCTTGCGTAAACACTTCAATCACACTTACGCTGTTATATCCTTTTCAAATAAGGGTGCATCACCATATTGAAATTTATACGAATCTCACATGTCTAATTCTTGTGAGAGTTTCATTTTTGATATGCCACCATAAGTGAGCAGTTGCATCAAGCGTTCCATTGGAGTGTGAGAGGGTTATGCACGTTATGTTTGCTAAAAATAGTATGTTGGCCCACAACTTCATAAGTGTCCATGCAACGGTTCTATGATTTGTTTGTTTTTCTTTCTGTGGGTCTCACAGTTTGTTACTTGACCTAAAACCTTTGATCTGCTCTTAATAAATTGGAGAATACCCGAATCTAATAAGGATGGTGTTAGTATGAAACCTTTTGCTGACTTCGTACGTGATCGGCCTAATTGGAACTCAGGGACGAACTTATATGCCTTCATCAGTATTAGTGTGCGATATTGGTTGAAAAGAATCGATCGACAAGTGTGCGACAATATTTCGAGGCGATGTCAACTTCATGTGAATCAATGAACGTCCGACCGAACCGACCGACCGATCGCACGAACGAACGAACAAAGAAATGAGTATTTAGTGTTAGGGAAACATCAATGTCTTCTTTAGACAGAAATACAGCGGAAATCTATGTATACTGTATCAGTTTGTTACAAGAGTTACCTCCGACATCAAAGAAATTTTCGATGCCATTGCAAAGCGGATTGCCAGTCTAGATACATCGTCTCCTATCGTCGTCTATGAAGTCAAGTCACGACATGTCGGGAATATTCATTAAGATGGGCCACTATGGTTTGTGAGCGGATGTTCATTAAAAGTTTTCGTCCAGACATCGTTATTAGTTCCATGGTTGTAGCTGAGTCATTATCTCTATATAAGTAGTGAAGTCTTGATATACTCATTTGAAATACAGTATTCTAGTTTTGTAGACAAACTAAGGGTTTCTGAATAGTTTGAAGCAAATTTGGCGAGACCGCCATTTGTGCGTCGCCCAGTGTTTCTTTAACTGACGGGTGTTTCAGGTATAAGGAGAAATACGATTCAGGTGTTATACATAATTTACTTTTAAACCCCAACCATCAATTATTATAATTCACCGACTTAAAGAAAGTATGTTTATGTGAGGTGTTTTCCTTAAAAGGTTTAGCTTAGTATAGGCAAATTTGTATTTAATTCGAAGTGGAAGCAGGTCGGCTCAGAATGTTATGATATATATATATATGACAACATAGGTGGAATAACTTTTGCAATAAAGTCGATATTTGCTGGGAAGTTGCCAACTAGCTGTCACATAGGTGCAAACTCCACTTTGTTTAATGATTTTACGACTTAAAAGTAAGCATTTCCTTCTGTCGATATCTTCTATCCTTCTATCAAAATATCATGGCTCAATTTGTGTTTATTTTATCCGCATACTTTTCCAGGAATAATTTCTATGGCAGCCAACTCCATTTCAATATGAAGAAGTGCTACATTGCAGTTGACTTGAATTATTAAATTGGTGTTGCCTTAATATAGCAAATATTACATTGAACATATAGATAGAGTATTGTTGTCCTTATCTAGAATGATGAAGACCCTATGTTAATCAAGTTCACACATGAAAACGCCCACCCACATATATCTGTAAATAGACTGGAATAATTGAAAATGTCTTACCGGTAAGACATGACATGCTTAACCTTTTCGTTAACACCTGGTGTCGTCACTGATTTTAAGTGATCGATTCATGCAATTTTCACCTCTAGTTTACCTTTGACGCGCAATGTCATCTGTTTCGACGGATAATCGAGACTGGGTATGCTATGGCGTTGACGTTATTATTATTCACAACGTCAACATGGGAATCATAATTAGTCTGTGAGTATACGAACTATCTGAAACATGATAAGGACTACTATCAAAACAAACACTTCTACAATGTAACTGAAAAGATAAATATATCATTTCATTTTGAAAATATACATTTGCTGTTGTATGGCATAGTCGTGAAGAAGACTTACATTTGTTATTTCAAAGAGAGAGTTATCCAGGTCGGGTTTGTTCAAGTAAACACTATTTCTATAATGTACGATGTGGAGAAATCTTTGCATACGTAAAATAATGTTCTAATTTCATTTCAGATACATTGCAATCTGCCACGTCCTTGAGTTTAAGCTGACGATGAGGTCTGTCCGGTTTACAGTGGGTGTCGTGTGGACATTGGCTGCTTCCATTATGATTCCATGGATTATCTATTACCAGCAAATAGAGTTCAAGACAGCGCTACAGGTTCTCTACATCTGCTTTCTGGATTGGCCTAGACCTGAACAAGCTCAAGAGTTCTTCCTTGCCATCTTTCTGTTTTGCTACATTTTCCCCCTCCTACTCATCGTCATATGCTACTCTTTGATTGGACTCAAAGTATGGAACAGAGATCTTGGAGGAATATTTTCTGAAAACGTCGTGATACATAGATCTAAAGTTCGAGTTGCCAAAATGTTGGGTATTGTTGTGCTGTTGTTTGCTCTGTCCTGGATGCCCTTGTACGCCATAAATATAAAGCTGTCCTTTAACAGTCCAGATATGCACAGCGAAGAAATGAGAATCATACAAGATCTCATAATCCCCATGGCTCAGTGGCTGGGGACGTCAAACTGTTGCATGAACCCACTTGTATATTGCCTCTTCAGCAAGCGGATGAGAGCAAGGATCAGAATAATGTTGACCTGCTCGTCCTTGATCAGGACTCGTCGGAAGCTTCTTAAAAGATACTATTCAAGCACAAAGCACATGACAGTGGATTACTCAAATGGACAGATCAAACTGGCTTTCAAAAGAACGCAGTTAAATGGTTCAGATGATCGATTCAGTAAGCTCAGTAGTGATACTCCAAAAGTTGTTGAAAGACATTGTATGTACAATTTGTAGGAAGTGAGATCTTATGTGATGTAAACTGCTTGAAGGTGGTAATCATTTAAGTATCGTCCATACTTTTCATACCGTGTCCGTTATTGTCGTCTTATATATGTAGCATGAAGAATATGCCGCTGGTAAGATATTTTAACATGTTTTTGTATAATGTTTCCCTTTTAAGTGGTATATATCATATTGTTATTCTGTTATGGATATACGCTGAATTGCCATTGGTACTGAACTTGTATGTTACTTTCATAGTGTTTGTGACATTTCTTCCGTCGGAAAACGGTTTAAGTAATTTCAAAATGATAACTCCTATATATACACATTTGGCCTTGTACTGAATTTTAATAAAGGAAACAAATTTGAGTACGTGCAGAATTGTTTTACCTCATAAAGGGATTTTACATTGACAAGTGAAAAATAATATATTGGTCGGTAGTATTATGCTGATTCAATTTGTGTTACAACAATATCTCGCTTATGAATATGAAGTAATGTCATTGCGTCTGTCAAATTGGTGCACAAGTTACTCTATTAAACCTTACTCCAAAAACGTCTCCCGTTACATCTGTAAAGGAGTAATGTTAGATCACGTCCTAAACGACCTCTTCTGTGTTTGTTTGGATCGGAATGCTTGACAAATGTGACAACAGGACTTCAGAGAAGTGGAAATGTTATATTCAAAAGAATCATTTGTTCGATAAAGGTTATGTGTTCAGGTACCGAAATGTAGCATTGAATGCATAAAACTTGAAATCTTAGTCTTTATTTACACTATTATAGCTTCTACATGTCATTTAAAAATGAGATCTACCTACTGACATACCAAACTCTCATAACATACAAATGAATGTATCTGCAATTATTTTGTTTCACTGGCTTCGTATTACACACTTCTACGGAAGCGTAGTAGGGCCACGGTGAATTTTCTTTTGTCTAAGTATCTCCTACGTAGAACTTATTATCTCTTACGTAGGACTTAGTATCTCCTACGTAGGACTTAGTATCTCCAACGTAGGACTTACTAACTTACTATCTCCTACGTAGGACTTACTATCTCTTACGTAGTACTTAGTATGGCCTGGAATCACTATCTCCTATGTACGACTTAGTATCTCATACGTAGGACTTAATATCTCCTATGTAGGACTTATTATCTCCTACGTAGGACTTAGTATCTCCAACGTAGGACTTACTATCTCATACGTAGGACTTACTATCTCCTATGTAGGACTTATTATCTCCTACGTAGGACTTCCTAGATAGTAAATCCTACGTAGGAGATAGTTATTCTAGTCCATACTAAGTCCTACGTAGGAGATATTAAGTCCTACGTAGGAGATAGTAAGTCCTAAGTAGGAGATAATAAGTCCTACGAAGGAGATAGTAAGTCCTAAGTAGGAGATAATAAGTCCTACGTGGGACATAGTAAGTCCTACGTAGGAGATATTAAGTCCTAAATAGGAGATAATAAGTCCTACGTAGGAGATATTAAGTCCTACGTAGGAGATAGTGATTCTAGACCATACTAAGTTCTACGTAGGACATAGTAAGTCCTACGTAGGAGATACTTGGACAAACAAATTTCACCGTGGCTCCACTACGATTCCGTACACTTCAGGCCTTAAATGATAAATAAACAAGATGGGATTTCGGAGCTTACAAAACAGTTCCAGCTGCCAAAGGTTTGGCGCCATTATCTGTGCGAAAGAAAATTTGTCTTTACACGGTGTCACATGTGGGAAAGAAAACTGTAATTGTGTACACTTCCATACAATGTACACGCTACGGTCTTATCAAACTACAGTCACTACTGACAATTTCAAATGTTGGTATCTCGCAACATCAAGGGAAAACATCTGGAGTGAAAAAACATATGCCATTAATAAAAGAGCACAAATGAGTCAACGTAGTCAGGTACCTGGACAAAATCGGTGACAAATTAGCCAGGCAACCAGACGAGTTCGTCTGAAGGACTAAACGTACTGTACGTTTAAGCAATCAATTTGCTAATCTACATTTACCACCCATTCTGTATTTATTATACCAGTGGGCCAGTCGGGTAGCCTAGTGATTAAAGCGTTGCTCGTCGCGTCGAAGACCTGGGTTCGATTCCTGACATGGGTACAATGTGTGAAGCCCATTTCTGGTGTCTCCCGCCGTGATATTGCTGGAATATTGCTAAAGGCGTTGTAAAACCATACTCGCTCATTATTATAAAATGCGATGTATACCACTGATACCCACCGAAACGTCAGTAGTCAAATGACTAGTGCTGTGGTATGCTTCTAAAACATGTTTTTTTTGATAATCTATAGTAATAGAAATTTGTGCTGAATTATTTTCCTGGTGTATATATTCCAGGTATATCATGAGAAAAAGTTTACAGGACTCTACATTGTAAGGTGGACTCTCTTTACAGATTGTTTTTCCAAATGTTACGACAATAATGATCTGATAAGGGCTCATTTGGGGCCACAAGATCTGCAAAGTTTGAGAATCGAGAAAAACGTAATCGGCCGCTTACATATGAATGAGAATTCATTTTCTATATCTCCACTGCTCGCATTTCGGTAAACCTTCACAGACACGTGAAACGATCCACAAGGTTTCCGTGATTTCAAATTACCGGCACTTGATTTTATCGACCAATTGAACGTCGAGATAAGGAAAAAGAAAATGGGAAAGGGAGGTAACTCGTAATGCCTAGAAATCAAAACCATCGCCAGTATTTATTGACATGAAGACATCCTTTTTATCAAATCTTTGTTTGAGGTCTTTCTTTTGCGTGTCAGTCAGTTTTTCAACGTTAAATTTCTGTCAAACTCTATCTTAATCAATAGGACTGGCCGCTTTGTTGTTGATACCGCCAACGCTGGTTTGAAACTCGCATTGGTACGTTAGACCTAGGAGCGTAGCCAATCGAATCGGCTAAAGGAAATCAAAGGCTGGTAATTTAAGTGAATTAAGACAGAAGTTAGTACAGGTTTACCAATATGCGAGCCCTGAACTAGGATACATAGGATATTGACAATGAGACTTTTCAACACGTGCATGCTTTCAACTTACAGCACATCAGAACACAAAGTGTAGCAGTAAGGCCACATTGTGGTCACAAAGGCTGAGTTGGAAGTTTTCGAGGTGCGTTTTATTTCTTTCATCCAAGTTGACTTAGTAAGGTGATGTTGATTAAACAGAAAAAAACATATGGTAAAAATGCCCCAATAGGACTTGCTTTTTTTAACTATTTGTAAAATGATTTTTTCTTTCATTTTATTCATTCTTCATAATAGCATGTCAATCAAGTTGCAAACGTACGAAGGAAAACGGTTCTATTGCTCAGGTATATGGACAGGTCCAATATATTTCATGGCAATATTTTCATTTGAGAGCTTCTGCTAGTTTTTAATTTGACATTTTCCAGTGTGTAAAAAAAATCCTCATCTTCCTTCTTAATTTATATATAAGCCCAAAAAGACATCATGTATGTCGTTTTGATTAACATATACTCAGCAACAAAAGTTCCTTCAACTGGTTTTCAATATTGTAGTGCATGTATGGAATCAAGTCACCAAAAACGCAAATGCTACAGAAAAGCATGCATTCCATGTTGACTTTTATGCAAGCCCTATGCATTTCACTACCCAAGAATGGGTATAAAAACATGTGCGTTAACGGGATTCCATATGCATCGTTTAGCATCGTGCTGACAACAACCACTCAGAAAAACAACAAAATTACGCAATTATTCAACATTACGAAATGCCACGCCTGTCTGAAAATGAGCGTCTGCGAGCCATTGATAGGCTTGAAGCTGGATCGAGTAAACGTGATGTTGCAAGGCAATTTAACGTCCACAGAAACACCATTTGGTGTTTATGGCAACGTTGGCAACAGACGAATGCAGTCAGAAACCATCCTCGGAGTGGCAGGCCACGCGTAACCAATAATCGACAAGACAACTGGATTCGAACAACACACTTACGAAATCGATTCCAGCCAGCAACAGTGACTGCAAGAAGCATCTCTGTCCTTCGACGAATAGCTTCACCCACCGTACGTCGTCGCCTCAGATGTGCAGGGATTGTCGCCAGAGGCCCCGCCAGACGTCCCATTTTGACAGGAAACCACTGTCAAGCAAGTCTACAGTGGTGCAGACAGCGTCTACGCTGGACGGCCATGCAGTGGGGACAAGTTCTATTCACTGACGAGTCTCGTTTCACCTCAGCCACAGCGATGGACGGATTCGAGTGTACCGACGTCGAGGTGAACGTTACGTCAATCATTGTGTCATGGAAGAAGATCGGTTCGGGGGCGGCAGCGTTATGGTATGGGGTGGGATTACAGCAATACAGAGGACCCGTTTGATAGTGGTAGAGTGAAATCTCAATGGACAGTGCCACCGCGACGAGATTATCGACCCTGTTGTTCTACCGTTTTTGCGTCGTCATGGCCATGGCATTACCTTTCAACATGACAACACCCGGCCTCATATTGCTCGACTTGTTCAGGATTCTCTTCAACAAAACAACGTGAATGTCATCCCCTGGCCGGCTCGCTCCCCAGATCTCTCACCAATAGAGCACATGTGTTCCACAGACACTTCTTGAACTTAGAAACATGTTGCAGCAGATATGGACAGATATCCACAGGACTTTGTGCGACGCCTGGTCCATTCCATGAGACGAAGATGTGTTGCTTGCAACGCAACCAGAGGACACACACGCTATTAATTTGTAAATTGACATTTTGGCATGTTCATGTTTTTTTAATGGAATCAGACATTTTCTGATGTCAGTATGGCAAATTAAACCATTTGACCACTGTTGCAAACCGAAATTGTTTCAGATTTGGTAAAAAACATAACTTTGTATTGAATCTTATTCAATGTCACAGTAACTTTTGTTGTTCAGTATATATGGACGTTCAGACTAAGCATCCTCTCCTATGTTCAAATGCACTTCATGCACATATACTAACACACCGGTAGAGGTTTCACACTGTCAAGAGGTCGAATGAGTTGACACAAATATATATGCTCGAGACAAAATCTTTCCCTATATATGCTCAATTTCCTAGCTCCATCCCCATCACCCCGACCTTTCTGGAGCCAAGAATGTTTATACGGACAGATCATCCTGCATTGTATTTGCTGCTTTAATGGCCTTAAGATGTGAAGTGAGTGGTCATGGGTAAATACATGTATGGATGTTTCACTTGGCTTTCGTGGTTTCAGTGTAACATGCTCGTGAACAGCCATCATCAAACATATACACTCCAGATTCAAAATGCAGTCCTCTTTGATGATGCTGAGCGCTTCCTTTGCACAAAGATTGACGCAAAGAGAGTCAGACAACTATCAGCTACGTGTCGTGAATCTGTGAATTACGTTTTGTTAATTGTTCTTGAAACTATAACATATAACGATTGTTAGTCATAAATCGAGCCAGTATTTAAACTGAAAGACGATCTATCTTTGTAAAATGTATTATGTTTATCTGATTTATGTCATCTATTATCCAAACGTTTTTGTCAGTTG